AAATGTGAGCATCCTCAGATATTCAAATCACTTATTCTCTGTAGTGAAACCTTTGGGAAGATGTGGGAGAAATTGTGTTCTGTATCCAGCACTCACATTCCTCCCCATTACTCCCCTCAACCCCCATCTCCTGAATACACAGCTTCAGCATGAGGTGCCTCTATGGGGCTTGGTTATCTGGGCTGAGTGTGCTCAGGCCTTGGCGAGCCTGCCCGGCAGCCCCTGGGCCACCCAGGCTAGTGTGACTGAACACAGGGCTCAGCGTCACTGATCCCTGACCCCCACCTCCCGCTCTTGGCTTTGCTTGTTGCCAGCTACGCCACATCGGCTAAGGCACCCACATCAGTGCCTTGGGTAATAGATTCTGGGGGAGAAGTCGAGGACTAAATGCCATGGAAAACACCTTCCAGGAGGTCTTCTCACCCTGACCCAAAGCTCCAACAGGAGGTTTTTGATGAACCCCACCCCAGAATGAAAAATCTCACAGTCTTAAGAGCTAATAGTGTCAGGCACTGTCCTGAGGACGTGATGCATAAATAGACTTATTTAAAGTTAATAAAAACCTCCTGAGGTAGGGACTATTACTGTGAGCCCCATTTTACAGATAAACAAACTGAGGCACAGAGAAGTTAAGCAACCTTCCCAAGAGCACACCGCCAATAAGTGCGTTCAAATTCAGGCAGAGTCTGGACTCAACCATCACACGCAACTGCCTCTTTCTTGATCATGTTTCCATATAAAGTGACAACACTGACTGAGCCTGGCTGTGCCTCCTGCCAGAAGCAACTCTTGCAAGCCTCAAAGGCCCTTGAAGCAGGCTGTGCAAACACAGCCACGGAGATGCTTCTAGATGTGGACACGAACCTAAAAGCACCTGCTCTGAAAGTTGTGGTAATGTTACGACCACATGCCCTGAAGTGCTAATATATCAGGACAGAAAGAAAGAGCAACTCTTTCTGTTGCTCTTTGGAGCAGCAAAGGAGATCTGCAGGACTCCTTTGTCAACCACCCTGGAGAAATATGGCCCAAAGCCTCTGGCTCCTCACCCCTGCCCCATGCAGAGATCAAATGAGGCCTAGAGGCTGGACCTCCGGCAGTGATGGGCCACTGATCAGAAGGGGGAGCTCAACAAGGGGCATCCTCTCAGCTCCAGGACTTACCTGCCCCTCCCAGAGTGGACTCTCCACCCTCCCTGGCCTACCCCGCTGCAAACTTCCCCCTCACTGCATGGGGAGAGGCAGAGACAGGCCAGGGCCACGACAGGGACTATTCTGACTTACTTGAAGAAGTCCTCCTTGCAGTAGACGCTCCCGGCCCTGGAGAAGCACCTGTCCGCCAGCTGCATCTGGCAGTCTGCACACTTGAGGCAGGAGCTGTGCCAGTGTCTGTCCAGGACCTTCAGGATGAACTTGTCCAAGATGTGCTGGTTGCAGCCAGCACACTGGGGGATCTCTGTGAGGAAGAGGAGAGAGAGGTACTGTGAGCCTTCCACACAGCCCTGCTAACCAGGCCAGGCCCTGGCAGTTGCCTTCCCATTCTGCTGGTGGTGGAAACAGACATGGCCCAAACCACAGAGCTGTTGCATGTAGTTGCACAGGTTGTACACTGCACACAAAGGTGCATGGTCAAGGGACAAGTGGGGACTGAAAGCCAACCCTTGCTTTGCTGGCCAGGCTGTGTATTCTGGCTTGGGGTGACTTTGGCCCAGAGGAGTCATCTGTTTCTAAGGGCACCACAAGGCTACATCTAGATGTGTATAAGAGACAGGCTGTGTATTCTGGCTTGGGGTGACTTTGGCCCAGAGGAGTCATCTGTTTCTAAAGGCACCACAAGGCTAGCTGCAGCAGCTAAGCCATTTATGTCAGCTGCAGTTCCACAGCCAACAGGCCAGGAAGGCTCAGCAACATCCACCTCTGTTTCCACGACATTTTCACAAGTGATTGGAAGCTCTGCTAAAAACATCAGCCCCCAAAATAAGCCCTGCCCAGGCCTGGACTAAAAGGCCATCTGTCCTGAAAAGCAAATGATAAATACGGTGTGGGGGAGGGGGTGGGCAGTGATCGAGGTCCAGGCCTGAGGGTGCTCTTGTAGAGAAAATCTCAATATTTTAATGAACTGCAACCGATACCATAGATCGGCTGGATCAATACCTCATCCTAATGTGCCTTCCTGTGCTGCAGATAGGAAAGCTGGAAACTGCTTCTCCAGATGCCCTTGTGGCTCACATTTTGAAGATGATTGAGTCTTCCAATCAAACGCTCTTGGGAGAGACTTGAATTCAAAACTGAGCTGAATGTCAAGACAGCTGAGGGACAGGCTCCCCTTGTGCTGATGTGCGTCATGGCGGAGGCGATGAGGTGCTGTGTTGGGTGTTGCACTGTCCTGGTCAGTCACGGCAGAGGCAGTGCAATTTGGGGGGCTGAGAGTTATCCTGGAAGCTCCACCCAGCGGGCTCCACTGAGTTGAAAGCCACCTGCCACCTGATGATTAATCACTTTTCACTTAAATAGTGAAAGTGGACTCTGTTGTCTGCAACGGAACCCTAACCACCGCCCGATCTGGTTCCTGTCCTGGGTGACTTCCTATCTGAGGTCTGTTTCTCCACCGTCCCATCTTTCCAAGAGATTGCTTGGGCATTTGATAGTATTTTGAGTCACTGACTGTTTCAAAATCTACAAAATGGTCAAGTTTCCATGGTTGGATGAACAAACAGTGCTAGGATCGCTAGCCATTTTCCCCTGTGCTTTTCAAAAAAAAGAAGGTGACAAATCAACAAGTACTAAGAACAAAAACATAAAAGTGCAAGCGTTTGGCCTCCTAGAGTATCCTCCTGATACAGCACTCGCAAGGCTGGAAACCCCAGGGTTCCCATCCCTATTATAAAAGACACCTTTGCTCGTTGTTCGTCTAAACACTCACTGCCTAGCGTGGTGCCTGGCACACAAGGGTAACACCACGGATGTTTATCACTAAATAATAAATTGATCAAATCGTGTCTGAGAAGCTCACCTTGAAACAGTTTTTCACTAGTTTCTCCTGTACACTCCGAAATGTCAGCAGCAGTAAAGCCAAATCTCTCATGAATCATACATGGTTTTTTGTTTTGTTTTGTTTTGTTTTGTTTTGTTTTGTTTTGAGACGGAGTTTCGCTCTGTTGACCAGCCTGGAGTGCAGCGGTACAATCTCGGCTCACTGCAACCTCCACCTCTTGGGTTCAAGCGATTCTCCTGCCTCAGCCTCCTGAGTAGCTGGGATTACAGGTGCGTGCCACCACACCCGGCTACTTTTTGTATTTTTAGTAGTAATGGGTTTCACTATGTTGGCCAGGCTGGTCTCAAACTCCCAACCTCAGGTGATTCGCCTGCCTCGGCCTCCCAAAATGCTAGGATTACAGGCGTGAGCCACCGTGCCCGGCCTCATACATGTTTTTGATTCATATCATGTTTGTTGGTTGTGATATAATTTAAAAAGTGTTAACATAAAGGAATTACCCTCAACATACTAAGAAAAATTTTAAACACATCTAAACCTATGTAGAGAGAAGGCTTTCTTAACTATTAAGACATTTATACTTAAAACCTATAAATAGGCTATTGGGACAATCACCAAATGCCATCACTAGCCCTGTACACAGAAGTGACAACCTTGGGCACAGTTAAACCCCAGCCCCAGCCTATTCCCTTCATGGCCCCAGTACCACCAGTATTTGTGTGGAAGTCAGGCCTGGTATACATGCCTTGCCTGTTGACCCCTTTCCCTTTCTCAGACCAAAATATCCCATGAAAACTATCAGGTGTCCCACTTGCTAATCGTCCCAGTATATATAGGATTCTTTTTTTTTTTTTTTTCTATCTCCACAGTTTTCCTCCTTGAGAAATACATTGTCCAGCCAATCAGTACTTACCCAGGAGTTCCAGTGTGCCCAGCAAAGTACTGAGCACCTGACGGCCACAGGGATTTCCACCCAGTGAGGGGATGGGCAGGGCATGGGGTGGGAATGTGGCTTCTGGAGCTCAGCTGCCCGGGTTTGGATCCTGACTCTGCTTTTTAAACTTGGACAAATAACTTAGCCTCTCTCTGCCTCAGTTTCCTCGCCTGTAAAAGGGGGTGATGATGACAGTAGTGCCTGTAGGATTGTTGTGAAGAGCAAACGGATTGATACAGGGACAATTTTTAGGACAGGCCCCAGTATACAGTAGGTGCTCAAGAAACGCTTGCTACTATTAGGAGATAACTGTCAAGCCCACGGAAAGGCAAGTTAGGCACCCATGTTCCTGGGCATTTTCTCCTGGAGCCCTCACAAGCATCCCTGCAGAAATGTCATGACTGTCCCGTGGAGGCCGAGTGGCCGCCTCACACAGCAACTATGCCAGCGGCCTGGGGCCATGCCTGTCTGCCCCACGCAGGGACTCACTCAGCCACACCCCTGGCCTCCCTCCAGGGCCCATCAGGGGCTGGCTGGCATCTCTGGAGGGCCCTGGAGGGTCTTGATGAGGAGGTGACCCTTGAGCCCGCCAGTCTATGAAGGGTGATTAGCCAGGAACTCCTGTGGTGTGACACCCCCGGGATCCAGCAGGAGAAAGTAGGGGACAGCTCAGGTCAGGAAAGTTATGAAGGGCAAAGGGGAGCGGGTTTCTCCAGCATGAGCTGAGTTCAGTGCCCCTGCGGTCTGCTGAGCAGCGGAAAGGCTGAGGGAGGAGGTGTCTGGGAGGACTGCCCAGGCCTCTTCTTGCAGGGGAGAGGAGGGGAGACCCAACCAGGAAGCCCTCCCAACTCAGGGAAGTGAGTTAAGGACAAAGGGCATGCAGAGCCAGCAGAATGTGTGAACAAGGCCTGCTGTGTGCCACAGGGCAGTGCCATGTGCCCACTGAGCCCCAACAGCAGGGCAGAGCCGTGGCAGGAGGCTGCCAGGCAGAGCCGTGCAGGGCTTCATGCCCCAGTGGCACAGCCGCACCTCTGCCCTGGGAGTCAGGTCAGGGGCTTCTTTGTGTGATCTGGATTTCCAGGAGCTGGGCCCTAGCCCCAGGGGGCAATTAACCCTTTGAGAACCCAGATGAAGCACCATCCTCACTGGCCCCTGGCATGCAGGCCAGGAGCTAGCCCAACTCCTTGCACCTCCCTTGGCTCCTGGGCAAGAGGGGCTGAGGGGCCGCAGATTCCCACCTAATTGTTGTTTGACCAGCCCTCTGAGGAGAGATCTGGCTATATTTCTCCTCCTAGCCACCAGTGCATGGGATGAGGGTGAGGACGTATGCCCATAAAATTTATTTCGAGCAAGATATCTAGTGGGAGCCTTAATCTGATGAGTATTCAAGAGAGAATACATTAGGGCTAATGTATGCAGGGAACGGCGGGCAGGGGAGTTTTAGAGGCTTGTAAGCAGAAACAGCATCATGTTGAGGAACAACACTAAAAGCAGACAGACAAGCCATTTCAGCCTCGAGCTTGGAGGAGAGGATCCACGCTGGGTCACTCTGGGTTGCCCAAACTAGAGGTCCTCACAGAGAGGCCTTGGGACCAAACCAGGGCCCTCTGGTTTGGCAAAAATGGAAGGGGCCTACCAAGGGTGCCCTTTAAGTTAAGAATTAAAAAGCTTTTCTATTCCACTGTAGATTTTGATGTGGGGATTAAACAAAGATAATTTGGAAATGCTCTAAAAGATCTCCAATATTCCAATCACAGTAGTACACGCCGGCATCAGAAGCCTGTTATGAGCCACGTCAGGGCTTGAGTGTGTATGACCTCAGTGAACCACTCTCAGCGAGGGAGGAATTACCATTCCCATTTTACAGCTGAGGAAACTGAGCCTTTGCGAGATCAGGCGATGTGTCCAAGGCCCACAGTAGGGGAGCCGGAATTCCAACCAATAGCCTGTGCTGCTGCTTTCCTGAAGATGGACTAACCCAGCCTGAGAGCTCAAGGGGCCTGAACTATCCCCTTACTTGGCTTGAGCCTGTCATTGTTTTAGATAGGAAATTGTGGCAGAGAGAGAGTCTCAACACGATTCCATGTATAGCGACAAGGGATTATAAGACCACTGGCCTCTTGAGCTCCCTAACAGCTGGGCAAATGGAAACGTTGGAGGCACAAACTGAGATGACACAGGCATCCAGTGTGCATGTGTCATGGGATGGACGCCTAATGTCCAGGGGACGGCGGGAAGCAGCAGCCTCTGTCCACCATCTCCTCCTCCAGCTACAAGGTGCCTGCCTGTTGATGGCGCCCATCCCTACTTGTGAGGATGTGGAGACCTGTGAACTCAGACCCCCACACTCCAGGCAACGTGGGCCCCAGGTAATTATTTAGATTAGTAAAAAATATAAACTATCTGGAAATTTTTCAAAGAGCAACATAAGCCTTTTAATTAAACCTATAATAAAGTATTATGTTTACAGTTTAGAAAGGCTGAACAGAACAGTTTATCTAGGTTTCCTACCAGAAATAAAGTTCTG